AACTCGGTTTTTTCCACACTTTTTGTGAACTAACAATAACATGTTTCTTTGTTTCTTGGTCAAAATGAATAAACAATTAACACCCTGAACAACACCCCTGTCGATTTTATATAAAGGGCGCGGGCGCCTACCCTCACATTGACGAAAATAACATAAGCCGCGTTCACACGGAGCGAAGGAACTCGGGTCGAAAACGACCCGTGTCAAATGCGTCCCGGGACGAGCGTTCACACGGACGTTTTCTCGGTACGAAAACGACTCGGGTCGTTTCGACCCGAGTCGTTTTCGCACCCACTCCAGAGTGGGTGCGAAAACGACTCGAGTCCTGGTTCATTTTTGCCATATGAACGCGCGACCCGGGTTGGAATTAGTACGTCACAACACGAAAGTAAACAGAATAGTTGGAAGTCAGTCAGAAGAGTTTGATTGTTAAACACAGAGCAGCCGAGTGAACAACCGCCGGCGTCCATGACGTCAGTGCCGGCGGCGTTTGTGGTTTAATTCGCATTGTTCGCTTGGATCGACGCATTGTATTTTTTTCTCAGCTCACAGCTCGCATAGCGTCGTGTAAACGCTCTCGTCAACGACGCTCCGTGTCGTTTTCGACACGGGTTGTTTTCGACCCGAGTTCCTTCGCTCCGTGTGAACGCGGCTATAGTCATACTCATAGGTCTCAATCTGCCCTAGATTACCGGTATAGATACAGTAATTTGTAATGTAACCCAAACACAGTAAAGGGACTACCCACCCCCATCCTTTGTTTTGGGTTACATTATTGTATCTAAATCTGCCCATGCTGTCCATCCTTGAACCGAACCTTTGCCTAGGCGTTGGTAGGTACATTTCGTGTTTATTCACCATCATTTTATTATTATTGAAATGTTCTTGAATTGAATTGAATTGCAATAAAAATGCCTGTGATGCTAATTCAGTTAGTATGGGGACAACTGCTCATCTACGTCGCCATGCTATAGGCTATAGCTACTAAGCTACGGATCTGTTCGCACCTGTTTATTGATTGTTTTTATCAATAATTAAGCCTCTCACGATCAACGTATAGGCCGTTGTAATAAACGAAGTATATATAGGGCGCTGACATGTTGTTTTATTTACACAGCATATAACGTCACGTAGTAGCGACGGTTAGATGGGTTCAAAGTCCCCTTGTCTACGTAAAGCAAACTGAGTGAATGATGAATAGCCAATCTACGGAACGGGATCCAACATGTCATCCTCCATTGCCTTATTGCATTCATAACCTTATAAATATTAGCATTCAAAGTCTAAGGGACTATATCGAACAACCAGTGAACCACAGCTGTGTGAGTGGCTGGCACATGCGCCAAATTAAGTAAAATTATGAATATATTCACAATTGTAAATTATAATTAATTATTCTACATAGTTACACATTTTGGAAGGCACTGCCAGTGCCACTGCCGCTCACAACATAGCCTCATAGTCATAGGGTCTATGTATGTCTCCCAGGGTACTGCCGGAACTAGCTCTAGTACTATAGGGAGTATAGCCCGGTTTCATTAACTGCTAGAGGCAGCGGCAGTTAATGAAAGCGGGCTATAGTACTACTGCTACGGTATGCTTTAACGTACCCTGGGTACGGTCCGGTATACCGGA